AGTGCAAGAGCCTGCAAGCGACTTCATGCCTGATGCCAAGCCAATAATTGAACATTATACATGGACCATATTTGAAATCCTTTAAAGTTTATAATCATTGTTGTTACCATCACCATAATATCCAGTAGCAATAACCCTAAAAAACCATGATAACTTCCATGTCAACTAAGTCTCTCTGGCTTCTTGTGGAATCAAAAGTAATCCTTTTTTAAAGCAATTACTTTCCTACAGTGTCAAATTCACACTCATCCTGATAAAATACCCATAGTTCTTCATTCTTTCTCTCTCTCTGCCTTTCCTTTTGTTACTCCATCCCAGGGTCTAATATTAGAGCACGAGTAAAAGATGATCTATTCTAAGCAGATTAACACTGGAGATATCTGGTACACCATGACTGGGACCCTAGGAATGAAAGATGCACACATATCAATCTCCATCCCGCTGGTTTATTCTCTGTACATAGTAATTATTGTAGGCAATACTGTCTGCTTATTACACATCTTCACTAAGGGGAAGACTATGAATCCATGTACCTTTTACTCTCCATGTAGGCGCTAGCAGATATCCTTTCTCTCCAGAGTCACCACACCAAAGATGCTAGCAATCTTCTGATTCAAAGTTGGGGTATTTCTTTCAGTGGCTGTACGTCCCAGATGTGTTTCCTAAACTTCATTTTTGTGGCAGAGTCTGCCATATTGCTGCCCATGGCATTTGACCAATATATGGCCATCTGTTATCTGCTAAGATATACTGCCCTTCTGACCACCTCAGTCAGTGCAAAAATGGGTATTGCATCTGTGACTATGAGTTTCTTCATCTGGCCTATGATGGCATCAATATCAGCATCTACCAGGGAATGATTGTGGCTTTGTTTTTCACATGCCTGAATGTGGCGCTTATCATCATCCCCTATGTCCTTATATTTTGTTCTGTGTTTAGAATTCCTTCCCAAGATGTCCATCTCAAGGCTCTGGGTACTTGTGACTTCCATGTGGGTGTCATCCTCCTATTCTATGCACCGGCATTCTTTTCCTCCTTCACTTACCGATTTGGGGGGCAAGTATACCACTCCATGTACATGTCCTTCTTGCTAATCTTTATGTAGTGGTACCAGCGACTATCAACTCCATCATTTGTGGAGTTAAGACCAAACAATTAAAGAGAGAGATTTATCTAGGTCTTTTCCTTGAACAAGATGTTTTATTGATATAGACTAAAGAGCTTAGTTCTTCACTAAAAAAAATTTCTTAATGTAACTCTACAATTCAAGAAAACCTAATAACAATAACAGAATGATTTTGAGAAAATGAGGCAACATTACAGTCTTAATGTTTATGCTACTTTTGTTCATGACAATATTAGAGGAAGGACACCTTATTTCTTGTGCAATATTCACCTTCGTTATAACAGGCTTAAAACATAGTAATTCAATAGCTAATTTCAATTTTATATTGACACAGAAATAAAGGATACCTAAAGATACAGCCCATTCTCACACATTAGAAAAATGAGAAACAAAATCCCAAATTAACCTAACAGGATTTTAGTTTATTTTGCATGTTTACTTGTACAAGTATGCACACGAACTCACAAATGTATATATATTTGCTTTATGAGAAATAAACGATGACATTGATGACAGTAAAATACTAAAGTATTATAAATGCCCAGGTTGAGTATATTAAAATACATCCAAAAATATAATAGTGCAACTTTTTCAGAACGAGTTACAATTAAGTGCTTATATGGAGATAAAAGTACTTTGAAAATAAATTAGAGGTTACAGAATAGTACCTATCATGTTATCTCAATTATATAGTTGTATACTTAATATATAGAACCATAAGTATACAACTTATTCATATATAGAACCACAAGTATACAACTTATTCATATACAGAACCATAAATATACAACTATATAATTGAGATAATATGATATGTATCATTCTGTAACCCCTAATTTATTTTCAAAATACTAATATTATTAGCTCATTCTCAAACATAAACAATGGAAACACTTATATGGTGTCGGGGTCCGGCAGGTCTGCCGGGGGACTACCGACCTGCGGGAGTCCCCGAGACCGCCAACGTAGATGTCTCGTTCAACCTGAGAGAGAGAGTGCGCGGAAAAGAAAGAATATAGAAAAGTAGAGTCTGGAGGGCTGCGTGAAGATTATGGCCAAAACGCAGCAAATTTATTTTTGTGGGTTACAGCTTTTATACCTTTTGTCTTGTTTACATTTACCTCATCTCAGCAGAAAGAAACAAAGGGGAAAACAGAAAGGAAACAGAAACTCCATAAAATAGATATCCGGGGCTTGTGATATCCTGCTCAGGAAGCAGTTTAAGGGGGCTAGTGGTAGTAGTTTACATTTCAATGATTTTACATTCCAAAGATACAATGGCACCCTTAAGGTGGCTGGTTAAACCTGTTTTTCATCAGGAGCTAAAACAAAGGCTTGGCTCCAGGGAAAATATGGGCAGAGGTCTCTGCTCCTCTTAGACATTTCAATTGCAGCAAGTTTATTGCTTACACAGAGACTGAAGGGGGACATGGAAGCAGACAGCACAATGTCCTCATAAACTGCAGGCCTTTGCCTTGCATCCTGTTGTTGCTTTTAGTGAATCAGCTTACGGCCCTGTCTCACTCGACAGCCCTCGAGGTGAGGAAATGCAGTACAGGTCCAGCAGCCAAACTGAGGCAAGTCATGAGTCCTTGGCGCGAACACCACAATATGGCATAGACTTCTTTGTTAATGATATGTTTTTTCAAAATTCTAGGTAGGCGTTTTTAAAAAATATTCACTAATAATTTAAATGGCAGAATTCGTTAAAAAAGTGTACCTGTTACTATCTGAACACTAAGGTCCCGTAATCCTGCCAATCACTTGGAATTGATACTTTTTTGAAAACAGAATGTCTCTGATCCCCATAGTTTTTATCTCATATTCTATCCTACTGCACTATTTTTCTCCAGAGAATTGATCAAAATGTGTGATTATTGTATATATTTTACTGTTTATTGTCTTCCTCCACCCTTTCCATCACCCTCAAAAGGTAAACACTATAGAGTTGTCCCTTGGTATCTGCAAGGTATTGGTACCAGGATCTTCCACAGACAACAAAATCCAAGGATGCTCAAATTCCTGAAATAAAATGCCATTTCCATATAGCCTATGCACATACTTTTGTAAACTTTAAATCATCTCCAGATTACTTTTAATAACTAAGACAATGCTAATAGTTGTTATATGACATTGTTTAGGGAGTAATGACCATTTTTTTTAAGTCTACACACATGCAATTAATTTTTATTTTCCAAATAATACTGAGTTTCCATTCTTCTGATTACCATTTTGGAAACTTCCCATGTTTCAAATTCTTGGAGATACCTTCCCGTGAAGAAAGCATTTCATGAGCTCTGATTGCCTGTTTATACATTAGGTTAGAGATTTAACTTCTTGCCAGGGGGTCAGCCATATATATTGAAAACAAAAACATTTCACAAGCACAGGGCTCCTGCAGCCACGTATCAGCTTAAGTTACAGCTTTGGATGGGCCCTACAGCATTGACCTACAGGGCAGGAGAAAAGTTACAGGACTTCCCTTTACATCAGGATACTGTGTCAGCAGGTTCAGGATCTCCAATTATCTTGGCATCTTAAAGCCCAGACCCCAGAATCTCATGCACATTATTCTTGAAGATCAAGTTAAATGGATAAAGCATGGATCACTGTCAAAGATCCTGTCTATCTGGCACAGTATGAACCCTCTGAATGTTATCTCCAAATCTGTAAATGCCAAAGGTGACTCTTCAGTGATCTAGGTTTATAGAGGGGCTAAAGAAACCTTGAAAAAGATGACTCATAGATAAGATAATAAATCAAAATAGGGCTGTAAGGATACTTTAGTTAAAATGAGATGTTCAGTTTAAAGAAACAGACTTCTAGCTACTAAAGCAATAATTCTCAAGAAAGGTGGTCCAAGGTCCAACTGCATACCATTAAAACAATGGAATTGGCATAGTAAGAGGCAAAATGACTTCACTATCCTAGACACAGGGAGGGCTCTGAGAGCCAATGATTGAAGGAGCAACTCAGTCAGGTACCAACCAAAGTGAATCAATCAGATTTATCATTCCAAGAGTAAGTATCAGCCCAAGAAAAGTTGGCAGGGATTTAGAAAAGAGTGGAATTATCCAAGGCACATGGTCAGTCAATGTATCCTGGGACTATATAGGGACCTAGATGACTCAGAACCATCTCCTTTCCTTGCTTAGGAGTTTCAATACAACATTCAATTAGTTGTTCTCAATATCTAGTTATAATGTTACTTAATATGAACTTTAGAATGTGTACCAGACATGTCAGGGGGAAATTATGGGAAGGTAGAAAAGTGGATATTACTGAGGAGTCAAAAAATGGTAATTATTGCTGGAGATTACAAAACAAAATAACTCCTAGAATATATGCAAACATAGTAGAACTTAAAACGGAAAACTGTTTACTGTATGTGCACTGGAAAACATGGCTGGAGGATTTTGCCCATGCTTCCTTCTTCAGGGAGTCAGGCCTCTGCCAGGTCTAAGCTGGGTGCTTGGCACAGAACAGGAGGTCAATAAAATCAGTCTGTGGAATGAATGGATCCATGTATGCACCTCTTGACCTGTCTGAGCGTATCAGCAAACAAGGTGCACAGCAATGTTATTCCCAGGCCTGCACACAAGACAGGAGATAACATGATACTCTCTTATACTGAAGTTTTTCCACCATCTACAAATTATGACCAGATGCTCTCCGTTTCTTTGTGCTTCAAATCCCCATACTTTGACTAAAGAAGGAAATTAAACAGTTGCAATAATAGTAAAATAAAAACATAATTTAGTTACTAAAAAAAGTTGTTTTTGATATCGTTATAATGTTACTTAATTATACTCGATATCTAGTTATAATGTTATTTAAATCTCACATGAGATTTAAATAATTTTACTGAGTGCAATAATTTTAATGTAACTAATTAGGAAACACATTTGGCTTAGGCATTAGAACACAATGTAGGCTATGACTAACGGGGCAACCTGTGGACTCAGACTGCCAATAACCAAATCTCTGCTCCGCTGCTTATAATTACAAAGCTTTAGGGAAGTCATCTTATCTCTTTGACTGTGATTTTTAATTAAGGGACTATAAATAAAGCATTTATGATAGTGCATGGAACATAATAAATGGAAATTTAAAATTAGAAACATATTTGTATTACTTGGTTATAGTTGTAATCTAGATGGTATTTTTACTGAGCAGAGGATTTAAGTGAGATAACTCAAATAAATATAGGAATTAAAATTAATCATTTTCAATGATTCAAATGGTTTTCAGTAGTAGTTGCTATTGGCATCATTATTTTGATCAACAAACTAATCAAAAAATCTATTTCTTTCTACTTTGGCAATCATTGGTTGTCTATATCTGTTATTCAATTTCCATTGATAAAGTAGGAGTACAGAAATAGTATTTAGTTTGTGGACAACCTAACATCAATATTATTTTTATATCATTAATTTCATCGCTTTGTAATTTATTCATATATTCCAATCTCCCTATGAAGCTTCCTCCACTAGCTAAATCAGACAGCAGGGGCCATGGGTAAACAATATAATAAACAATATACAAGAACCTTGTCAGAGTAATAAAAATGGGCTGAGATAACAACTGATCTGTTAGTAATTACTTGAAGAATGTTAAATAGCTTTACCTTTTCCATAATGGGTGGATCCCAAAGTACCCTGATGCAGCTAACCATAACAAGGTATTAATGGTAATACATAACCTGTCTTATGCACTAATATGATTCTCAGCCCACTGTATGTACATTTCTGCTTTATAAAACTTATCACAGTATTATAGATGTCAATTTTGCTGACTGATTGTGGGAAAGTGAAGAAGGTATCTGTAACATATAAAATATTATTAAAAGACAGCATTACATCTATGTTTACATACTTATTGACTCTTACCCTTTTTAACTTCACTTGTTGAATTTAAATTCATACACATTTGATATAAACTTATGCTCCTTTCATGCAGAACAATCTCTGGACTCTTTTTTGTATCTGTTGAGTCTTTATACTGTAAATAACAGGGTTCATCATGGGTGGTAAAATAACATAGATGTTGCCCATGAGGACGTGAACCAATGGTGAGAGGTGTTTCCCAAAGCGATGCACCATGGTCAGACCAATGATTGGGATGTAGAAAACCAAAACAGCACAGATGTGAGATACACAGGTCTGCAAAGACTTGAGTCTCTCCTCCCGTGATGCAATGGCTAAGACTGTATGCAAAATCCTAATGTAGGAGATGAGTATGAGCACTGCATCTAACAACAGGTTGATGATCACCAGTGTCAGAGCATAAATGCTGTTGAAGCGGACGTCTGAACAGGCCATTCTAATTAAGTCTTGGTGCAGGCAGAAAGAGTGAGAAAGGATGTGAGGACGGCAATAATTTAAGAACTTCAGACGGATGATGACTGGAGGTATTAGTAAAGAACTCCTACATAAGATTGCCACTCCAATTTTCATGATTTTGTCGTTAGTTAGGATGGATGAGTAGCGCAATGGGTAGCAAATGGCAATGTAGCGGTCAAAGGCCATAGCGAGGAGGACAGAGGACTCCATGAAGGACAGACCATGGATGAAATAAGACTGGGCAATGCAGGAATCCAGGCTGATCTCTTGAATTAACCCCAGCAGGATCCCCAGCACTGTGTACACAGTAGAAAACCCCATACACAGGTCAGTGAGGGCCAGCATGGCCAGAAAATAGAACATAGGCTGGTGTAGGCTTGATTCAGTCCGGATCACATGGAGCACCATGCAGTTTCCCAGGAACACCAGAGCATAGATGGAGGAGAAAGGAATGCAGAGCCAGGGATAGTGAACTTCTAGGCCAGGAAAACCAGTGAGAACAAATCTGGAACTATTGAAGTTTGAGCTAGAGATAGACATTAATAGAGGATTGAAAACACTTCTAGAAAAATGCAAATTACATAGGTTTGTGATTCCCTGATTTTTAGTAATGTTTGTCTGCTTTTAGGAAGAAAATAAAATATAATACAATTTCTGTAATTTGCATAAATTCAGCAAAATAAAGAACTTATTCTTTACCTCTTATGGCAAAACCCTGCCATCTCGACATGGAATCTTCAGGGCTATTACTTAGAGGTAATGCAAGATTAGGGAGTCTTATGTAGAAACAGTAACATTACTGGACCTGTGGGATTTAGATTCTAGGTAGGGCTTCCGGGAGTGTCTGTTTATTCCTAAAGGAAGAGAGTGTGTCCTCACTGGTACTGCTGTCATAGTTGGTATCAACCTCAGGAGAATGTGAAATATTTCAGTCATTTTTCTCTTGGGTACTACCTTCAAAGTGTCATAAGTTTTCAACAGATGTTAACTAGCTAAAGTAACCTAACTTTGCAGAACACAAAGATTATTCAAAAGAAACTATACAAACTAAGTGAAGTCAGAACATTTTTACACATTCCACATTAGCTCCTTTTCAAATTATTTACTTATTTAAATTTGACTCTATTTTTTTTCTCTATTTTCATGCACCTTTTCATCCTGTGCAAGATATTTGTCTTTTCTGGTGTCTCCCAATATTATCTTAGGTCTTTTGCATATGAGATAACATAAGTGAAATGTGTTTAATTTATTTTAATTTTCTTTTTAGCCATTTATATGTATATTTTTATATTTTCATGTTAGCCATCTGGTTGTGTGCAGTTATTTCTTAGTGTGGTTTTAATTTGCACTTTCTTAATGGATAATAGTAATTGGAAAATAATGCATTCCAATGCAATATGTCATTAAAAGTAAATTAGTAAATAATTTGATGTCACAACACTGTAGTTATTGATCCTGCCAGACATCATAAGTTTGAGCAGTAATACAGACCTTAGGAGAAAATACGGATTTTAACAGACCATCAGATAGTTTAATAGGTAGAGATGCTTGTCTTGACTTACTTCTTTTTTACACCTTGCAAGATCTTTCATCTATCAGAAAAAAATGATATGGGAGACTGACATGCCTTTTAAACTAAATACTAAAATATTTGATAATATGTATTTTATCTATGACTGTGTTAGCTTTTTACAGGTAACATAAAATCAGTTATTTAAGCATACCATATTTTTGTGATAACCAAATAGTCATAAATATGTCCTATCTTGGCCAAGCCTCTTATAGCTCTATGTACTCCCAGTACATTTAGCACCTCTTCCACTTGAAGTACATAAGACAACATGATGTGAGCTTCTTTGGTTGGCAGAATCTGTGAATTATTAGAGCTTATAAAATAATACTAAGATTTCAACTACACATAGAGCTCTAACAAAATGATTTGTATAGTTGGCTAATTAAAAACTATTTTTTAACCTGGAGTGATTTAATATTTTAAAAAGAATATAATATTTTAAAAATATTTAATTTATATGAGTACCTGGCATTATCCTCATAATATAACTGAGTATCTGAACAGTATCCTTGGAAAAGGGGAGTTAATAAATCTAATACAGATAAAAAATGAGCTTGAAGCATAATTACATTTAAGGTATGCTTTTTGTTCTAAATAAGGATTCAGTCAAAATAAACAACAGTGATTAATGCAATGAGCATTAATGTACCCATGCTAAGAGAATACAGTGGGTGTATATGATCAAAAGGTTGGATAGTACAGGGTACAAGAGAAAATAAATGTCAGTATTTTTTGTAAAGATTAAGCTCATTATTTTTAGATAATTATAGATTCACATGCAGTTGTCAGAAATGGTTCAGAGAGATCCTGCGTACCATTCACCTAGTTATGTTATATTTGTTTTTTTTATTCCAATTTGAATTTACTGTAATGGATCCCTTCACTCTTCATGCACATGATTTTGTTCATGTTACATCATGCTGTACAGCTTCCAAAGAACCAGAATATTACATGGGTGATAGCTGTCAAAGATGCCCCATTTCAGAGGACAAAACAGAAAGCCCTCACTTGAGTTTCATGCAGTCATCACACACAGTTCATTACTCACCTCCCTTAATGACAAATTATACCTTTCTCTGCCTAGAGATTTTAAAATGTGTTATAAGTCAGAGTAAAGGAAATATCAAATATGGAAATATATTTGTACTGTGGACTGATAGTATAGCACAGGCTGTGTGGGTCACAGGGACATCATGCTGCCTATCTCTCACAGGGAAAGGAGGTCATCTGGAGATGAAGCCTAGAGAAAAAAGCAAATGGAGGCTTAACAAAGAGAAGAGATGAAAGAAGGCAGCAGGAAGTGGCCCCAAAGTTAAGGCTCTGCCACAAAAAATAACACACAGTGAAGGATGCTCTGAAAAGTGGCTGAGATGCATGGAGATGAACTAGGAATCTGAGTATGAAATGTTTGTTTTTGGAACTCCTGATGTAAATATGTGATTGGCATGCAAGGGGCCAACCCAAGGACAAAATAGGAACGCCTGTATCTTTTCCTGCATTCTTTTTGTCTCTGTTTCCTTAGAAACAAATCCATGAGTATCAGAAATCCCCATTCAAGAGAGAACTGCTCAGAAGGTGTTCAATTCCAAAGTGTTGTTTTAAAAGCAGATGCCAGCTATACCGAATGGGTTATTTTTTTAACAAATGTTTAGTTTTATATTTACTTATAATAATCATATATATTTATGGGGTAAGCAGTGATATTTTTATATATATAATGTATATTGTGATTAGATCAGAGTATCGATCTTCTCAAACATTTCTCATTATCTTTGTTTTGGAAACATTCAATATTCTTCTAGCCATTTGACACTGCGTAACACATTATTGTTAACCATAGTTATTCAAATGGTGCAGAATAATAGAATTTATTCGTCCTATCCAGCTGTAATTTTGTATTTCTTTAAAAAATCTCTCCTTGTTTCCCTCTTCCTTTATTAGTTCCAGCCTCTAGTATCCTCTGCTATACTTTTTGCTTCTAAGAAATCGATTTTTTCAGATTCCACATATGATTGAGAACATGTGGTATTTTGTGATGACTTTCCTAACCTCCAAGAACACAGTAAATCATTTTCTCTCAAGATGCTTTACTTATCCTCCTAAAAGATTAATTATGTAGGGGTACAACTATTTTTCAATGTGTGCCTCTTTACTATATTGTAGACACCTTGTGATTGAGTGAAATTTTGTATTTCTATGAATCTAAATACAGTACATGATGTAAGTGGATCCTTAACATCTGTTTATTGAACACACACATAAATTATTTATAGTAAATTCTCTGGTCTCTTCAATAATACTGTTTTTTAAAGTCATGTTGCACATTCTGGATTAGAAATCTTCATTAATGTGTAAATCACTACACATCACTTCCACTTTAGAATAATTGAGAGTCTTCATATGTCTCTGGAATCAAGTATGGAGGTTCCTCAAAATACTGAAAATGGAAGTACCACATGACTTAGCAATTCTACTGCTGGATTTATATCTAACATAAATGAAGTATGAATTTCAAAGATGTTCACACTCTCATGTTCATTGCAGCATTATTTGCAATAGCCAAGATATAAACAGCCTAAGTGTCCACTAACAGATAAATAGATGAATAAATTATAGTATATTTATGCAATGAATAATTATTCAGGCTTTAAAAAGAAAGAAATCTTTCCATTTGTGGCAATGTAAATAAAACTGCAAAACATTATGCTAAGTTAAAGAGGCCAGACAAAGAAAGACAAATGTATGATACCACCTAGGTAAAATGTAAAATGTCAAACCTAGAGAAACAAAGAGTAGAACAGTAGTTGCCAGGGACTGAGGAGTGAAGGAAATGGGACATGTTGATCAAAGTGTAAGACTTTCAATTATAAGATGAATACATTCCAAATATGTAAGGTACAGTGAGGAAAGTACATTTAATAATTATACATTATATACTAGAAATTTGCTAAATGAGTAGACCTAAAAATTCTCTCTCTCTCTCTCTCACACACACACACACGCACACACACACACACACACACACAAAACTGTGCTACATGGGATGAAGAATATGTTAATTAGCATAAATGTTGAAATCATTATGCACAGTATGCTTATGACAAAATATCAATTTATATGCCTTAAATATATAATTGTTTTAATCGCCAAGCCTCAATCAAGATTAAAAAAAATGCTATAACAATTGGACATCCATATGCAAAAAAGAAATGTTAATCTAGATACAGACCACATACTGTTTCCAAAGTGGATCATAAATCTATATACAAATCTGTAAGATTGAAAACTAGGGAAACAATATGCACGACTTTCAGCTTGAGTGTTGAATTCAGTTAGGTAGTTTTTCTGCAGCAACCAAAAGACTACTATAGTATATGTGTGTGTGTGTGTGTGTATGTGTGTATTTATATATATGTGTGTGTAGTTTTAGTCTCTCTGTATGGTATGTTACATTGACTGACATATGAATGTTAAAAGTAACTGGATTATATTTGAGGAACTTTTTGGTATATGTATATATACACACTAAATATGTATATGCGTATATACACTAAATATATATTTTTGTTTCATATGTAAATATCTATATGTGTATATCCACCATATATATATGTATATATACACTAAATATACATATTTTGTGTGTGTGTCTATATATATGTATATATATATATATACACTAAAAGGTTCACCAAATATAATCCAGTTATTTTTAACACTCAAATGTTGGTCGAGGTAATATATCATACGGAGAAAGCCAAGCACATTCTGCACATGTGTCTCAGAACTTAAAGTCATACACACACACACACACACACACACACACACACACAGTATTGTGTGTATATATATATATAATGTATATAGTATATATATAGTGGTGTGTGTGTGTGTATATGTATATATATATAATACTTTAAGTTCTGAGATACATGTGTGCAACGTGCAGGTTTGTTACATATGTATACATGTGTCATGGTGATTTGCTGCACCCAACAATCCATCATCTACATTAGGTATTTCTGCTAATAATATCACTCCCCCAGACCCGCAGCCCCTGACAGGCCCCAATGTGTGATGTTCCCCTCCCTGTACCCATATGTTCTTGTTTTTCAACTCCCACTTATGAGTGAGAACATGCAGTGTTTGGTTTC